TATTTGAAAATTCATATACTGTATAGCTAGTATCTTGGTTATAAAACGCATTTGGCATTTTTATCTGGTTCAGGACTAGATGACTTCTTGAGTCTGTGAATTATGTTGCTACAATTTTTCTAGAAAAAGGTTGGTCAGTATCTCTTCAAATCTTGCTTTTCGTCCTTCCCACATCTCCCCATGGGAACTCCTAATAAATGTATGCTAGGCTTTGTCTTTACAATCCTCATTCCCAGTAACTTCTCGTTTTGACATCTTTCTGTGGGCTGCACTTTAGGTAGTTTCCTAAAAACTATTTCCATATTCCCTTTTTAGTTATGAATATTCTCCCACATAGCCCATTACTTTTAAAAATTAATTTTAAAGACACGGATTTTCAGGCATATACTAATCGGGGAGGTTTATTATGGGAGCTGGCATATGCAACTATGGGGGCTGAGAGGTTCCCCAATACACCATGTGCAAGCTGGAGGGACACGAAGTTGCTAATGCAATTCAGGGTGAGTCTCACCATTCGAGAACCAGCAGCTCTGACAACCAAGGGCAGAAGATGGGTACCCAGCTTAAAGCTCAGAGAAATCCCTCTTCCTCTGCTTTCTTGGTCTGTTTGGTCACAGAGATTGGATGATGCTGCCTAAGTTGAAGAAGGCAGATCTTCTTTACTCAGGCTACTGACTCAGATGCTGAACCTTCCAGAAACACCCACAGAGACACGCCCGCCATGATGTTTATCTCCACCCTCGCCTCCCTTGGCTTAGTCAGGCTGGCACAGAATTCACTCTCACGAGTCCTTTTCATTCCATTTCTTTTACTTTGTTTTCAGACACAACTTTTTTGTTATAGTGTTACTTGTGAGTGTAGGATTTATCTATTAAATTATTTTAAACATATTTACATAATTTTTAGCTTGTTCTATTATTTTGAATTTTAGGCTGTAAGTCCTGTTGGTGGTCATCCGGTGTTCCCTTGGAGTGAGCTGGCTCCTCCCAAAATCTGTAATTTTGGCCTGTGAGCAACTTGTTAGTGAGGTTTCACTTTTGCTATTCAAGTTCCACTGAATAGCATAAGATGGATGGAAGAATTATATGCAAGAATATTGCCTTGCTTCTGCTACACACCTGGTATGTTTATAGGGTCAATTATAATTATTATTGCTATTACTTTGAGAGTTCAAAGCAAAATCTCAATTCTGTACATAGATGGAACTAAGTTCTCTTGGGAGGTTTTTGGCTTCTCCAAAGCCCTGAGCAGGTGTACATGTCCTTGAAAAGTAGCACAGAATCGAGGCTAAAAGCCGACTCTAAAGACTACGTGAGCCAGAGATTTAGCTCAGTGGTTCCACCGCCTGCCTCCCAAGTGCAAGGACCCGAATTCGATCCCCAGTACCACAAAAAAAAAAAAAAAGAAAAAAAAAAGAGGGCATGTATGGAAAAAATATTGG